TTCCATTCCATAAAACTTTTATTTAATTCTTCCTTCTGCATACGAAGTTCCAAAGCTTGAACTACTTCTGACATACTGGAACTAGAAGTAACTGCTTTGTGAATAATTGCATTAATAGATTCGACACGTGAAGTAGACTGCATGCCAGCTGTAAATATTTTACAGATAAATGACTTTGCCTATGATCTCCGAGTTGAATAAATAGGATTACTCAAATATTTGTTGGCACTTGGATACTTTTCTAGTAAAGATTGAAATTGTCGCTCAAAGACTTCAATACTTAAAGAATTCTGTGCTTTCCAAAAGTCACAGACAAATTCTTTAAAATTTGTACTTCCAAGTTTGGCCTTAAGCTGTTTAGGCAAATTTTGAGACATATGCCAGATACAATGAACATGATAGGAATTTTTATATATTACTTGGCATGCTGTATCCATTGCAGGATCCATATCGGTCATTATAATCTGTGGTTCAAAACTAGTCGCATCTAAGGTTTGTTGTAAAACCCATTCATAACTTTCCTGAGTTTCATCACTTAAAAATGCCTGTGCTCCTAATCGTGATTTTCCATCATTATCAATGAGAATAAACAAAGATAGAGGAAAGTTGAATTTATTTGTTCTTGAAGTGTTGTCATGTAAAACGACATCAGAATAACGAGACCATAGCATAATTTGATTTGCTGTCATCCAAAAAATACCACACAGCCGATTACTATCAGCATTTATTAATGGCTGAACAAACATCGTAGGATCCTCTTTTTGCTGTTCAAGTAGTAACTTTAATAAGTGGGATGCATCAGAACCAACAACCTTTTTTTCACGCTTTATTTTTTGAATTGCATTTGACAGGTCATGTGTGAGAAAAAGGTGATCAGGAAATAAAGGCCGTAATAAATTTCTTATTGTATAAGCATCACAATAACCATATATAACTATACGTTCAATTTTTTCATCCATTATAAACTCATCAAATTTTTGAAATGCTATAGCAAATCTTATATTATCTGCATCGAGAATATGGTTATACTCAAGATCCACAAAAGTTATATGCACAAAGTTGCTGGCTTCTGGATTACTCAAATTAACATGACATTTACAATCTGTTTTTTTTGATCCTTTATTGCGCTGCTGTTCTAATAGCTTTGTTTTGTTAGGTTTATACTTGCCAGCTTTCTCACATACATATGTTCTTTTTTTAACACGATCATTTAATGTAGTTGAATAAGACTTATGATGTTCAACTCTATACCGATTCACTACAAAACCTTTTTGTCATCCATACTCCTTTACATAATGTTCTGCAATTGCCCAGGAATTAAATCGTGCTCCAACTAATAGCTCTATAGGTTGATTTATATGATGTTTAGTAAGATCTAGACCTTCAAATTCCAATCCAAGAACAGGTGTATTAGTTTTGGCATTGCTTTCAAAACTTATAGAGCCTTAAAATGAAAAAAGCTAAGTATTCGCATTGACTGAATTATAATATTCGACTAATTAAACTAACCTTGATCAATTTCTATATCATCACTTTCCTGAGTTTCGTCTTCCACAACTTCACCTTCTACGAGTTCAACTTCAATATGTTCGCTTTGAACAAATTCAGTTGCTTTTCCTTTAACAAAGTCAACTTCCACATGTTCAACTTCATTAAATTTATCTTTCATTAGTTCGAATATTTCACCTTCTAAACACTTGTCTTGTGTATGAGCTTATATTGTGGCGTAGATTGTATGTTTAACTTCCCTACAGTTCGTTTGCAAAAAATGAGTAAGACGTTTATACAACCTTCACAAAATAAACACACAACCTTATTTACTTACGGATATGAAAGTTTTCTTATATACAAAGATCCTTGTTTACTTTCGTTTACTTTTTATACAAGTATGTATACGTATGTTTGTAAGGGGTATTTTGACGAAAAAGAAAAAAAAATAGCAATTGTCTCCCTTTTATTTTTGTTTACATTATGCATGATTAAACTCTGCTATCATTGTTAATTCTTAATTTCCGATCTGTATTATGATGCTATAATACCGCACCTGCAGTATATAAATTTATCCTTGATTTTATATAAGGAAATTGTTAAATATCGCAGGTTGCTATATCACAGATTAATATGATTGACCAATTAGGTCACAGGATCTTGTGTAACAAAACCAACAAAAATTACAAAAAATATCAAAAACTTCAAATATCTTGAATTTTCATTATATAAACTAGTCTTGGGCTTCTAATTAAAAGATTTTGCATATATATATGTTCTTTAACCTTAATCTCAATACTATTTCGCACCCTAACCTTAACTAATAATAATATTAATTTTTTTTAAATATTAACCTGCGATATTGCAACCTGCTAAATTTAACAAAATCCTTATATAAAATATTAGAAATATTACTGTATATAAAAGGATAATTGATTATGTAAAATAAATTATAAGAAGTTTATTACCATTTTTAAAAATGTATTTTAAATAAAATATAAAAAAAACACAAAGCACTTCATTTAACACATTACAATTTTAAAAATCTAGGCCTCAAAATAACCAGCATTTGACAAGGTTATTTGTAATTTATAAATGGTCTATATGAAAATCATGTAATTTTTATATAAACCAATAAAAATAACCTTGTTAAAAGAGTACAAATTATTACATAGTACCCATGAAATAAAATATGAAAATAATTTATTTTGAATACATAATATAAAACTTAACCTTTTTATTTTCTTGCACAAACTCCTCTACTCTATTTGAAATTTCTATTATCTTGAACTTTGAGATTACATGTGATTGAATATCAGCAATTTTAGCTGATGTTAGGAAGTTATTATATACCTGTTCATTTTCTTTTTTTCAATAAAAAATTGAAGAAACAAGAATACAGTGTATGTTCTGCTCTGATGTGTATTAATTCCATGATCTAATTGATTAAGGCTTTGTTGTAGCCATTTAGCTTAACTTCCCAGCCATCTGAAAATTTTCTAGTTTCTTTGACCATCTTTGTGATTGTTGATAATTCTGAAAACTCAAATAATAACACACGACCCACCTAGTATTGCCACCAAGATCAAGTATGTGAATCCAGAGCTTAAATTTATTTACCGAATTAAAATTGATAATAATAATAACAATAATAATAAATAACAATTTATGTTGGAATTTTTTCTAATATTTTTCAAAATGGAAAATAAATCAACTTTGTTTGTCTTGTTGAATTATAAAACCCATACTGCATTTCAAAATAATAATAAAATTTGCATTGAATGTTCAAACCGCATAAATGAAAACAAAAAAAAGAAAACAAGAGGATCAAATTTTAACGATATTTGTATGCAAAAAGAAAATGCTATAAAATCCGAAGATCTTGAATATATAGTTTATGAGAAACTTATGGATATTGAAGGAGAAAGTAATATATATATCGATCTTGATATAATCGTAGATAATTCTCAAATAATTAATGAATTAGAAGTAAATGACACAAACGAAACATCTGCAAGTTCAATAGCACTTAAGGTCGTAAATATCTGTGAAAAGGGAAATGGTTATTCGTATGTTTACCATAAAAAATATTATAACAAATCAAGACTACTTCGTTTATGTAAAAGGATGAAAAAATATGATGATAGGTAAACAACACAATAGGGGACCATGACATCTTGTTAACCTCTTGGGAAAATGGGTGCATCATTTTTCCGGAAGGTTTGATATTATATATTTTTAAAAAAAATTCTAAGTCTAATATTATTTTTAATTAGGTACAATGAAATTCTCAACATCCTTTTATTACGGAAACTAAGGAAAGTTTATGAGACAATATTCGATAATCAACCTTAATTAATCAAACACAAGTCAATTTAACGATTGATCTTGTAAATACAGAAAACCAATATATACATAATGAGGAATCGAGTACTGAAGATAGTGAATTCGAATCTGAAATTTTAAGAAAATATAAAAAGTTCTTCATGAGGTATAAAATAATTTTTTATTATCATATTTTCGTATTTTACATAAATATCTTTTATTAATTTTATATTTTTAGGCGCTTGATTATCTTGAAAAGTCTAACAATCTTCTCAAGCAAAAAAAACAACTTTGGAACATTGGATCGAACTTTAAACCTATTAAAAAATGGTAGATGACGTTAAAGATTTCGAACGAGCAAAGAAGCTTCCAAAAACTTGGAGTGGGTAACAAAAATACCTTTTATTGGTAGCATTAAGTTCAAATTTAAAGCTTTATACGTGTATTTAAAAAAAATTGAATTTGGGTATGATGCGTAAATTCTTAAATTCTTAAATTCTGATAAATAATATGAGTAAATAAATAAATAATAAATAAGTAAAAAAAACTTCAATTATTTCTTCAAAATTCTCATAATTCGGTACTCAGATTGAAATTTAAAAAGCGATTACGTGCCTAATTTTGATGACGATACTAGTTGCGTTATAACACACACTCTTTCTATAAATAAACAAATTCACTATCGGATTCATCGGATTCATCTCTCTCATTATATAACATATTTCATACCTCAAATCTTCGTCGTCGGTTTCTGATTCAAAATATGATATTCTCTGAATGGTACACAAAATAAATTCATAAGTCTTGTAAACAAAAACAACAAAAGAAATTTAATATCTGATTGTGTTGTTACCTTTTTTGCCCGTCTTAGCAGAGTTTGAGCCCACAATTGTCCTAAGGTGTTAAATTTAAAATTCTTCGCTCTGCTGGTTTTTTTTTTAAAAAAAAAGAAGTGAATAGATACCTCTTGTTCTTCATTGAATTTATTTGTATTCGCGCTGAAAGTTTGGTGCTGATTGTCCCTCCATAGATCGTTGAAATTTTCGTATATGTCGGTTGATAAACATGAATTTGCTTTTGTGAGCACTCTTGTTCCCATTGTCTAGCCGTAGTGCGATCAGGTCAAGAATCCTGGCATTGAAGATTCAGGAAGTTAATAATATTCTTAGTACCCAATTCACTCTCCTATTATATTTTCCATCCCATCTGAATATCAGAAAGCCACCTGTATCCAGTGGGTCCAGTGTTGGTTAAGCTAGTAGCCTTTTGACATCAAGCAACCTAGCAACCTAGTAAGTCCCTTGTGCTCCAACACTGGTCTTAATAACCTTGAATGACTGACAACCTAGTAAGTCTCAGCCACGCCACTTTTTCACCTGTATTCCAATAAAAAAAAAAAGTCTACTTACATTTCTGTATCTATTGATAAGCTCCTGTGCTTTTTCTGCTGATTACCTTGTTCACGGTTGGCTATTGTCTCTAGGCATTTTAAATAATAGTCTATCTTGATATCGAATGACTCCATATCACAATAGTTTAAAAATCCCAGGATATTCCACCCAGAGTGCCTACGATTAAAATATTCATACGCGTGTTTTCCGACATTGAGCTGAAAAAAAGACGTCAGGTAGGCAGTATTGTTATTTCGCCGATTTTCCTGTTGTACTACTTTTGTTTCAAAATAAGTTATGATAAGCCTTGCAAAGTGATACAGAAAAAATTTATATGCGGAATATACGCGGCAAATTACTGAATTATCTACAAATTTTGTTTAAACTACGTAACATTAGGGTAATAACAGATATTACGTAATATTCTGAGGGGGGAGGGGGTCTCTGATTTTCTTACGTAGAAATATAAATTTATAATAGCCAATCAAATCTCTCTTACGTGGGGGGAGGGGATAGAGGGTATAGTAAAAAAATATTACGTAATATCTGTTACTACCCTTATCAAATCGTTCCAATTAATGTTATCTGTTATTAATTATTAATTATTCGAGAATTATGAAATTCCGTCTTTAATTGGATAAACTAGATCACGTCACCTTAGCACAGCCGTAAAATCAAAAACTTCAACAAAAATATTTTTATTATTACCGTACAAGCGCGAACTAACGCGCAAGGGCGTTATTTTGAAATTTGACCCGAATTAAGCTTAATTTAAGCCAAAAATTGAAATTAAACTCCTGCGAGTTATTTCGCGCTTGCACGGTAAGCAAAAGCATTTTACGTATTTATGTTCCACCAGAATTCTTTCTGCTAAAAAAAAAATAAATAAAAAAAATCGAAATAATCCAAACTATTAACGAAGATAAAATTTTTATAAAGTTTTTGTTCAGTACTTCTGTACTTTATTCTCAAGAGAATAAACAAGCTTGTAATTTTAAATGTATCCAATTCTGTTTCAAAATACCTTAACTATATTCTGGGTCGCAATTTTTGCTTTTGTTTAAATAGTAGTTGACATGAACATTTGAAATGTTTCAAGTTTATTTTTATTGATACTAATACAATAGTGCAAATAAATGTTACTATTAAGTTGCCAAATAATTAGTAAATTTATTTTCGCTTACAAAACCAAAAAAAAAAATTTGATACTTATTTTGTTCGTATAGCTCTTTACACGATACAGTAAAATTTTACAGCAACATCCGATAAAATTGGCGAAAATTTATTTACAAAATTATTTACTAAAAGAGCTTGAAAGTGATAAACTCAAGGGAGTAAAACGTTAGTATTAAACAGCGAAAAGAATTTTTTTAAAAAAATAATCAATATGTAATCATTGCGAAGATAATACGTATTTGAGAAGTAATTTATTCTTAATTGCGGCGCACTAGATGGTTACATGAAATTTTTACCCACCTGATCAGTGATGTAATTGGTTTCGTTCAATGGATAGTTAACGATTTACTACTACCAGCTACGCCATGGTTAAAATAATGTGGCACAGTGGCGTTGTCACGTGTCCACAAGGCTTTAGCCGACTTCCTGAATTGCAATTTCCTTGGATTACCTGGAATTGGAGGGACAACTAACAAACGTGAAAAGTTAGTAACTATCAAAGTTTACAACTATCAAAAGTAAAAAACTAAAAATTAGTAACTATCAAATGGAAGAAAAAGTATAAGAGATACAATATATAAATGGGGACCGTCTAAAGCCAGTTGCGTTCATGTGACTAACGGCCAATCAAAATATAAATTTTGATTAACCCGGATCAGCCCGACGAGACAAAAGCAAAGAAATTCCCATCCAGGTTCAATCCGGGATCATTTGAACCTAAACCAGGATCATTTTGAACCTAAGCCGGGATCATTTTGAACCTAAGCCAGGCTCTTATAGGACTTAAGCTAGGTTCTTTTAGAACCTAAGCCGGGTTCTTTTGAACCTCCTAAGCCGGGTTCATTTTGAACCTAAGATGGGTTCTTTTAGAACCTAAGCCAGGTTCATTTTGAACCTAAGCTAGGTTCTTTTAGGACTTAAGCTAAGTTCTTTTAGAACCTAAGCCGGGTTCTTTTGAACCTAAGCCAGGTTCGTTTCGAACCTAAGCCGGGTTCGTTTTGAACCTAAGCCAGGTTCTTTTTGAATCTAAACTAAGATTAAGTTGAATTAGATTTTAGAACCCGGGCAACGCCCGGGTTCTAAAATCTAATTAATACTGTATATAGTACAAATAACTAAAGTCTAAGAATTAGAAAAAAAATACCTTACTTGTACTTGAGCAACACCTAGATTCTAAAAGCTAGAATATAAATAATTAAAACCTAAGAATTAGAAAAAAATTAGAAACCTCATACCCGGGCAAATGCCCGGGTACTAAGAGCTAGTAAGCATTATAGAACTTCTGGTTAATCACATCTTCAACGCCTAGTTTATTTATTTATTTTGTCTTTTTGCAATAACGCACGTTGTGACGGTGAAGAATAAAATCAAATACGACTGGGATCGTTACTAGGCAGAAACCTGACACAAGATACACTAAATTCACTAAAATTCTAACGCTACACCCTAACTGGTAGGCTTCGATAGAGGGTTAGAATTGATAATTAAATCGTATATGTGGATTTTAGCAGTGCTTATATTTTTAAATCACGACCCCAAATTTCAGCATCAGCCGCGAAAATAAATGTATATTCTAAATAAATTATTTATTTAGACTTATCATAATTTAAATCTTAATGTTAGCTGCAGTTATCGTTATACCTTACGTATAAAGTCGATAACGATAATTTAAGAAATATTAATTTAATGTGTACGTGTAACTTGATTATTGTTACGCCAAGCAAAAATAAAATTCATAATTTTTAGATTTAATGTAATCTATAGTCATGTAACACATTAACATCTAAATCATCAATGTTTAGCATACAGCGTTAGACAAGCAGTAATTAATTTTTATATAATTAATATCTGGATACTCCCGGGTCATATCCAGATATCCAAAACTCCTATCCAGTAGATTCAGACATCTCACCTCTACTCTTGTTATTGTTACTAACGTAACAACTGATACGTACAAAATTTTTCATATCTGATATAAAAATAAATTACATATCGATATGTAAATCAAATATTTAATATTTAACATTGAACATTGTGTAGCGATGGAGAATTTGCATTTAGACTTTTTAGTACGGTAATCTCAAATTTCTAACGCATTTATAAAATGTACAACTCATTTTACAACAATCTAGGGCTTTCTAACCCACATAATTAGAAGGTAAATTATCATTATATTTAGCATTTGAGTTATTACCGTCTAGTTCTATGTCAAATCATTTCCTGTCTTTTTATTAAACTAGTCACTGTTAAGATGATACATGTTAAGAGAGGCCTACAAAATAGTTTTTGGATTGTTGGAATATTTATTAGTTTCATTAACTTATTAATTTATGAGATCAAAGCAGATTGTCTATTAGAAATATGCACCACATCTGATGGTTCTATTGCAGTCGCATTCTCTGAAGATAGAGGACCTGATCAGAGTTTTATTACTACTCAATGTCCTAATGTAACTGATGCTAATATTACCAAATGCAATGTAGATTGCGATAGACCATACCTTTCAGGTCCATCCTGGAAAGAGTGTACTCTTTATTCTTCTGGCACTACTTATATAAATTATCGCATATACTATCCGGATAATCCGGATTGAAAAAAAAAATTTAAATACCTATCACTATGTCATCATTTGCATAATGACCAATAAAATTTCTTACACGCGCTTTCTCGTTATGCACATTTCCCCGACTTTAGAAAAATTTAATTTTACTAATTTTATATTTATCAATATATTAAATTGATATGAATTTTGAAAAGCTTACTTTAAGTACATTAGTTAGTTTACTAAAAGGCATTATCTAATGATCAATGTCTTTGAAAATTAATAGCCTATTTTTAAAGTTTCGAATAATTTAATATAAATATATACTTTGCGGAAATCTTACATTTTTGCGAAAGCGACAAAATATCCTAGATTTAGCGTAAATTATTAATAATATAAG